ACATTTAAAAGGGATTAAAAAGGTGCTGATCTATTCTGTAACTTATTATTAATAACATGCTTTAAATTAGTGTTGCTCCGATGGCATTTTGTGACCCCGATACCTGACTGTGCAGTATTTGCCGATACCATCTGTATGAAATTGATATATATATATATATATATATATATATATATATATGAAAAACTGCATACTACTTGGATGTAAAATCATTGCCATTATGGCTTTATCAAGCTGCTGCCTTCCTTTGTGAAGAAGGAAAAAGACTAATACAAAGTGAATCCAGTAGAACTTTGTATTAGTTGTAATACTTGAATAAACTTTTGGCTCTTTAAATCGTATTGTGCCCTTTTTGTTGGTATTCGCCAATAACAATACCACCATTTTAGCGCAATATCGGGGGTCCTGCTCGATATTGGTATCGGTGCAATACTACTTTAAAAGATATCTTTAGCCATATAACCTAATCAGTTTCACAAGCCAAAAAAGGGAATATAGTTTCTTGGGTATCAATGAAAAACTGGACTAATTTCCTTTTAATATTAGCTAAACTCTAAAAACACAGGGATTTTCATTAAAGCTTGCGTTCTGGATACACTAAAGTAATGTACACTTTTCATGCAAAGAGAAAATTGCTTCAACATTAAAGGATAAACAATTAAAAATCCAGAGAAGTTGAGAAATATCAGCAGAAGGATAAACTTTCAACAATGTTTTGGAAGGCATGACCAATGGTACACCTAACTACGTAGCCTCTTTAAAGCGGCAATATATTTTCAACGAAAATAAAAAAGATTTTGAGTCTGAAATATAAATGATTCACATTAAGGATATCCTAACTGTTCTAGACAGACAAGCAATTTTAAAATGCATGATTCTAAAACAGGAGTCTTTCTACTATCATACACAGGATGACAATGTTTACATGGACACCAGCTTGAAGCCTCTCATACAGCTATGGCTGGAAACAGAAAATATTTTCTTTGAAATAAACAAAAATAAAAGTAGGAATATCACATGGATTTGTGAGCAATTAACTGCAAAAAAAAGAAAACTATAATCATAATGATCAATAAAAAATTGATGGATGAGGCACATCTATCCAAAAATAACCCGGATAATTAATATTTCAGATTTTGGATTTAAGAGAAATATAAACCTAAACATCAGGAGAGCACTTTCCCCCCCTAGTATCTGCACCAATGATGGACATAACATTAAACTACAGCTGCTCTATGAATATCCTAGTTTCTCTTCAACTAACTGATAGAAGAACAAAACAATGGCTGGTTAACTAAATACGGTCTGATGGAACTTGATGATTTAGTGTCTATGTAATATCATTTCAACAGTCAGACTATGTGGAATAAAGTGAGATCTGTACAATTACTTTTTTGGTTTGCTGACATCTAGCGACACAGTTGTTGTGAAGTTGATCAAAACTTGGACACAGCTAAAGGTTGCTACTTGACACTGTGGCAAATTACAATCAGACTGGGCCAACTACAGAATTCTGGATTGTCAAGTCTCAAATCCATGAACAAATAACCTCATTAACATAAACCTGAACCTTAAATTTCACCTCAAGATTTGGTGTTAATGCCTTGGATTTCCATTTGATATGAACTAAGTAGGGTTAGTTTACAAACTAAGATGATTTTCAGTTGCCTTGGGTATGCTGGTTTTCTTTCACGCTTATTTACTCTCCATTTGAGAACATACGAAAGTTTATGACTACAAGGAGCTACCACTTAAAATACAACTGAAAGGGAACGGATGAAAGGGTCATATTTGCCCTTTAAAATAGGATGCTCTGCTGAATTTCCAAAGTAATTTTCCCAAACTTTTTATCTTTCACCAAACAGAAGCTGAATAACAATTTAGAACCTTATTTTATAATATTAAGGTTTCTTCTTGGTCCCATTTCTACAACTATAAAAACACAAAGTGGCGTTATGCATTTGATATGAAAATAAAACATAAGCTGTAGTGAATTTACATGAAACAGAGACCTTACATATAAAACAAAAAAAACTGAACAAAGCACAAAAATTAATAGCGCATCTTTTACACATCTTAAGTCCAGTATGATCTGTAAGTCCACACAGTGCATTTTGGACATTTGCGCTCCATACACGGAGGATCATCTTAATATTCGAAAAACATTTAATACCCATAATCATCTCAACAATGCACAGCACAGCTTTGAAAGAAGACACTGGCCTGAAGTTAGTAAACTCTACTGGTCATGGAAGACAAAAACGAAAGCTCTCAATAGAAACAACAGTTTGCTCAATCATTGACATGAGTTCATAAATTATAATGTTCTAGCTTATTTTAGTGTATATCTGACAGGTTCAACCCCAACACATGTCCAGAACACAACAGAAAACACCACTTCTTTATAAGTGCACCTTAGTTTAAACAGTAATTTAAAAAACTTTAAAATGGAAGCCACTTAAGTATTATTGTTTAATGTTAAAGTAATCTGACATATACTTTTTCAGTAACCCATTTTATGACAGCAGAAACCCAACAGAGAGAAGTACTCTACATTGAGATAACGATAAAGAAAAAGATTTGCTTTAACCAAAGCACTTTATCAAAGCAACATAGTGTTTCTCCAGTATCATACTACTACTGCAAAAAAAACAAACTTAAACATCTTCACCAAGGGTTATAAAAAATGCAGAGGGCTGCATACTGTGATGAATATTACATTTTGTTCTGACACATGTAATCATGAAGTTGCAGCAATAGTGAGCTCCCTTGATGCGTCTCATCAGATTAGCGGTACTTACTACTAAGCTACAACTCCAGACACAGTAAAGACAATTACCAATTTAGGATGAGTCCATAAGCTAACTGACGAGACAAAACATGTACATCTAGGATAAGATAAGGCCATAATTGGTTCCGTTTTTTTGGCATTTATTAAAAATCAAACCACAATATGTAGTTTTGCTGTACTGTGTTTAGATTCGAATATTTTAGCTTACTTATTCCAGGGATTGTTTGTGTATGCATGCTTTTCTCATAATGTAATATTCATGCATTCACAGAAAAAGACTGAACCCTGAATTACTTTTGTTATAGTGTTTAAAACCTATGTTTCTTGAGCTCTTGGAGGATTTCAAACTTGTTTTCATTCCAAGTTTTTAGGAGGACTGCAAGTAAAAGCTTACATAAAAAAAAAAAAAAAAATTTTGAGATACTGGCCATATCGTAAAATAATTTAATAACACTCAGTTTTTTTTCAGAGGGGCAGAAACATTGTATGAGCAAAGAGATAAAATGAAAACTGTAGAAATATGTTCAAAGAATACTTTTTCTTATGTACATTTGATCTATACTCCACCAGAGGGAAAGACATCTTTTATCAAAAAAAAAAAAACTTGTCCACCCCTTTTTTTTTACCTTAAAGGTATAGTGGAGGATGTTCTTTTTATGGGTGGGTCCCTAAATTAAGTGCTTCACCTAATTGTTATTCATTCTGGTAATACATTTCTGCGCATGCACGCTTTCGGGCGTATATCTATGGTGAGCTACGGTTTCAGACAGTCACTGAAGCTCACCTCTCTCACTGCGGTACTTTGAAAATGGCAGAGGGTCGTAAGAGAAAAAGTGTCTACGAAGTTTATGAGAAGAAGAGAAAGCCTCAGAAGAGAGCAACAACACCAGGGTGTTTTTGGGTGGTTCTTTTACATGATAACGTACACTGAAAGTGCATGTTGGGCTTCCCACTGATGCCTCGGTTGCGAAGTTTCTACTGAACAGCTTAAGTTTGGCATGCTATTTGGAGAAACCTATTTCACATCACTGCTACTACAACGAGGAGAAATGGGCTCATGCATGCTCTTGCACAGGTTTAATAGGCGTTCCCTCTCGGGAGCACGCACATGGCTGTGCATGTGGAGAGGGCAGTTTTTAAAAGAAAATTCTAGACAATCCTCCCCTATACCTTTAATGATTTTTCAATTGCAGGACTACATTGTAAGGGAGGATTCTTCCTTGCATGTTGATTTGAGGCACAAGTAACAGAAAAAGGGTAAGGTTATTCTGTCTAACCATGAAATGTCACGGTTTTGCAGATGTCAGCAGATTGGTGAACCAGGCTGCTGCCGATGATGATGCTTGTCTTTCTTCTTTATGCTCCTCTCCATCAGGCAGGAGGAACTGTGAGGAAGATACAGAGGTGGGTGAACCCAGCGAGTGGGTGGGGCTCATCTTTTCATCAGCCTCTCTTGGAGAGTCTAAAAGCCAGGAACTCTGTGGCTTGTAGCCTCCAGAGCTAAGAGCCTGTGGCTCTTCAAGAGGCTCAGAGGAGGCTGAGGCTACTGGGTGCATCTGTGGCTGGTAACCCCCTCCTCTGTCCCCGCTGCTTACAGGGAGACTGTGGTGCGGCTGGAAGACCTCAGACGGGCTTTGAGAGTCCGAAGGGAAGACCAAAGAAGAGCAGGATGTCTGAATACCTGTGTAGGTCACATCAGTGTTTGCTGAATCTACAGAAGATGAGGAGGAAACCGAGGAGTCTGGAAAGCGAGGTCTTATGGGGCGCTCATCAACCACTTGGTTGTAGTAACGCAACGACTGCGGCTCATCTGTGTCTACTGGCTCATCACCAATTCCGTCCCCTGCATCAATCTCTTCTTCCTCTGCAATGGCAATTAGGGCATCTTTAATTAAATCTCGCTCAGGTTTCTCTATGATGTTGACCATACTATGGGGAGCTGGCTTCAAGTCCAATGGCCCCTGAAACAGACAGAAATGAAAGAATACAGGGTTAATTTTGAATGCGTTTACTAATTATCCAGCACAGAGATGGTGATTGTTTATTTCTAGATGGAAAACTGGAGTAAATTAAGCTGAAACTGTACCCGTGTCCTGGACCAATCACCCGGGAGCTTGGGCTCAGGTATGTCTGGATAGAAGGCCTTTTTAACCCTGAAACAATCACAATGTCTCTTGTTACACCCAGAGTTAAGGACATTGTTTTTTTCAGCGTGGGCAGAGCTTTAAGATTCTAAGAAGTTTGGCTTTGGTCTTAGTTGATTATAACTCTGAAGACCAAAACATTCTTACCATCCTCTTTTTTTGTAGCAGAAGTAGGCAGCCGTCACCAGTAACAGGGTTACCATTCCCAAAGAGGCCAGAATTTCCAGAATCAGTCCATCTCCTGTTAGAAAATATATATTAAACAGGTCTAAGGCAAAGAATGAAAAATTGACTAAATAAAAGCACATTCTGTAAAACAAGTGTTCACAAAAACATATTAGTTGTGTTTCAATAATAAGTAATAATTTGCATACCACATTCCTTCATTGATATGGCAGCAGTTCCACCTGTATCTTCGCCTGCAGACGTGTAGGCCTTCACAGTAAACTTATGGGTGCTTCCAGACAGACCCTTTACAGTGTATGTTCTTGTTCCTATGTTCAGATTTGCTAAAATGAAAGATTTCAAACAGAAAAGCAGGGACAAGATTAAGAACAGAAAGTGATCGACTTTAACTTTAAGATAACAAAAAAAAAACATTGTGTGTTTTGAGAAAATGACTAATGCATTAAGAATGCATGTGACAGCCATTTTATTAGACTCAAATTAGAAAAGAAAACCAAAACTAAAATCAATAGAAGTAAAGGAAGGACAAAAGAATCAAAGAAAAGAGAACAAAGAAAACAAAGATAAGAACAAAACAGATGGATCATTTAGACCATGAAATGTACAAAGAATTTTACAAATTCTTTGTACTGTTTGTGGAGCACACAGCTTAAGCAGAGGGAGTTTTTTAGGCAACATTTTCACTGTTACAAGGCTTTAAAAAAAATGAAGATAATGATGGATAAAAAAATTTCAACAATGGAAAATATAACATACAGGCAACGTTTTTTAGGCCGTTTTTCTTTATGAGATTTACAACTTAAAAGTAGACCATTAAAGGACAACTCACCCCAAAATCAACTTTTGTTTTACTAATAATCTGTATACATGGATGTCCTATAGTCCCAATACATGTCTTGGGCATTATCTTTCATGCACATTTGTTACAAACCTTCTTTCATGCCTGATATGGTCTGTTTGTCACCCCCCTTAGGTAAATGGTTGTACAGCATCTGAATTTGAAGTAATATTAATGTTGGCTCTACCATAATTGCGAAAACACCTAGAAAACGTAACGTTTCAATATTCTGGGCGATGCTAGGTGGGAGTGTACAGCATAGAGAGCAAGTTTACAACACTACACAACATGTAGAAGTAGAAAACATGGCTGCTTCCAACAGTTTTAAAGTCTCTTCCTGTCATCCAAGAGTGACAGTGATTTGTTTTTACCGATCATTGTTTTTATTTGCAAACTCTTGCCAGTATGAGGTGTCGCTCGTCCGCCATGTTTATCAACACACAGCTTTCAGCAGGTTTACTTCTTTATTTTCTTAATTTGAATATCAAGCTGGTAAAAAAAAATACAGAAATATTTTGGCACATTTATTTAAAAAAGGGTCAAATTTACCTTTCAGTAATTGGACCTTAACTATTTGTTTCATGTGAAGAAGAAAAAAAATACAGAACATAGGTTCTGAATACTTTTTTTCTTGCTTATCTAGACTAGGGGAAAAATACCTATATCCATCGCCTGTTCAAGTAAAACTCTTTTTATAGGTTTTGTAAAACAAATGATTGTTTCATACAGATTTTTCTTCATGACACACTTTACTTTGATAGATCGATTTACAAAATTTACCAAGAAGTATGAGCTGAGAACCGTTGCTGATGTAAACATTGTACCCCTGGAGGAATCCTCTCCTGTTAGCCAATGGAATCTCATCCCAGGTAAGGACGACATCACAGTCCTGCTGAGTAGTCTCCAGATTGACGGAGCTGGACGGGACTGAAGTGGTGACAACCAACAGAGGTTAGTAGATAAAAAAAAACAATAATAAGATAGTAGATAAAAGCAGATAGATTGAAGTCATTGCTTTATTTTCTGCATCTAGCAGGTTTTACCCAGCTCCTGCATGTATCCTATCCAGCGCCGCATGAGTACAGGGAAATCTGACGGGCAGCTGTAGAGGGAAAAGTTGTACCTCACACCAGGCTGGAAGTTGGCTGATTAAGAAAAGAAAAAAAGGACTTCACTTTAAGATTATACAACCTATGTGTTGTACAATGTGTTATACAACAAACCTGAATATTCTACCCAAATCCTACAGCAAAAACATATTTATATTTCTTTAAATCTATGTCCACAAGGCCTGAATACCAAGCATACCAGACTGAATAGAGACGTTAGTCTTTCCAGCGTCCAGTCTGATCCAGTCCACAGGGCAGTCATGCATACAAAAGGCATCACACCACTCGACCAAATAACTGCATGTGCTGTTGCCGTTGTGCTGCCAGCTCAAAGGGAAACCACTGCTTGTATAGACAGTCTTTTCCAAAGCGGAGGGCTCCTCACCTGAAAATGAGAAACCATGCTCTTAGCCATACAGAGAACTAGAGATCAGTGCATATTCAGGAAGTTGTTAATGTATAGTCGTTTAGAAACATGAAAATATTATATTAATTTGTGTATTTTGTGTTTTCATCTTCAAAGTAGTACCGGTAGTTATATGTTGAATTAAAAGGGAACTGTTTTTTTTTTATTCTATTTTGCTTTATTAAATGAAATTAGAAAAGAATAGCTTTACCCAAATTTGGGTCAACCTATTGGTAAAAAAAAACTTGCTTTATAAAATAATTACTTTGGGGCGTATTATTCATTCTCTTGATTTTTTTTTTTAGCAAAAATTAAAAGAAAAAATATCAGGTAAGGGTTTGTTATTCGGTTCATATGGTTTAAAGAATCGGAAAAAAAAAAAAATTTTTTTTTTTTTTTTGGTTTCTAACAAAAAACAACCATAAAAAACTGCCTGAGTGTACCCTGCCCATTAACATTTCTCCACTGTAGATTTATGAGGGAATCCCCTTTGTCCCTTTTTTTGCAGATAGCTTATTAAAACAAACAGGCATGTTTGACAGAATACTCCCGAAAATTCAGTGTCTCTATGCATACCTGTCAATCGCAATGGTACGTTTGAAGGCCGAGACACCCCCCCCACGGCTTTCACAGTCACTGTTGCATTGAGTTTGTTATCACCGCTGAATGAAGCCCATCGTGTGAGGTTAACTGACAAAAAGTTATTTCCTGCAGATAAAAACTTCACACTTGGTTCATTTTCTCCAGGGCTCCAAAAGGTAACCTGGTATCCTTTGATTTGACCGCGGCTCTGCCATCTTGTCAGAGGCTAAAAGAAGAAGGAGCAGAATGAGAGGGATTACTTTTATTGTGAAGTTTGAAAATAAGTGTAACTTATTTTTATGAGAGAATACAAATGTAGAAATTTGGGGTAACAGCTATATTACCTAAATGCAATCACTAAACATTCAAACTACTAAAAAATAAATAAATAAATGTTTAAGAAAATAAGCCACACCTTCCAAATAATTTGTCCACTGTCTCTGTTCACCCAGAGCCACACATCAGGGGAATCTGGAACTAGAAACAGAGAGGGAAAAAAAAGGTCAATGATTACTTATAAATCAAAGTCACTATGATTTTTGCCCCCCCAAAAAAATGTAAGCTTTAAACTCTTTACCATAGGGTTTGGTTTTAAAGGTAACTGCTTTGCTCCAGCTTCCCCACTTCCAGAAATGCTTCTGGGATCCACAGCGGACTTTAACTCTGTATTCCTCATCAAAGTGGAGATCCAGCAGAACCACAGAGTGCAAACCCTTACCTGAGAAATTTCTAAGCTATAAGAGTAAAAAAAAAAAAAAAAAAAAAAATTGTATTACTTAAGAAAAAAACATGCAAGTTACATTTTCATGTTATGAAGTCAAGCTAGTTATTTTGACTTAAACTTGGCAATTCCCAACCTTGAAATATAACCCCAGTCGTTTTTATCTTAATGAATCTTAATATCAATTTTAGGTTAAACAAAAAAGCAGAATGTTGCTCATACCTCAGAGCTAGCTTCTTACTAAAACACAACAATATGAATTATGAGCCATATGTCATTTTTTAATCCAGATGTTTGGGTTACTCAAAATTAATGCAGATGTGTTTTCTGAGTGTTTCTGATACAATTAATGGGTTTCCCTTCCTAATCGTTTTCAATTAAAAGTTTCAAACAATAATGAAACCTCTTGAATAATTTATCAAATATACCTAGAACACACATTTCTCCATATTACCTTAAACTACAACAAGCAATTTTTAGCAGCATAATTTTGTGGAGGATTCCCATTTAATGTCTTGATGTGTTGTCATAAAGTAATAACATCCATATTTGCCTAAATGAACAATAAAAAAAAAAAAAAATAGAGCCCAATTTATTTTTTCATTATAACATTAAAACTTAGAAAAGCACTCAAGAGAGAGCAGACCTCTGCCAGTCACCAACATTCTGACTTACACCTATAGCTCGAACTCACACATGATTTCATGACCAAATTTTAATGACTAAATTTTTGATGGTTACTTTTAATTTTTAAGGGGCACCTCAGATAAAAACTTCAATAAAATCCCTCCATAACTTTTTCATGTTATGCTGTACACACTCTATTAAGTCCCTGAAAAACCTTCTTCAAATCACCTACCGTTGTATTACTGCTCACTAGTTCAACCTGGCAGACAAGCTCGTGGTTGGAATAGTCGTATTTCCACTTCCAATCCACAGTCACATTAAAGATTTGAACAACAGCAGTCAGGTTAACTGGTTCTACGGGGCACACTGTGGGGCAAGAGCAAAGAAATAAAGAACAAAATTTAAAAAACAAGCTGACATAAGGAAAAGTCTTTGGTAGAGACTCAGGATTTATATTTGTAATTTCTTATACTCTTTTTTTAAAATACAACTAATATGACCTTTATAAAATGAGAGCTGGAAGAGCTGATGATCAACAAAGTCAACGTACCTCTGTGATCAAGTTCCGCTGAGTCAGTCAGAGTGTACTGACCAAGAGGATTAACAGCCACCAGAGTCCAGCTACCGTCCCACTGAGGTGTCCCACAGCTCTTCTGAGGACAGTACCTACAGACAGCAAGTATCATAATACATCATAATAATATTTTCAAAGTCATATATTCCAAATCAGTATAAACTTTAATCAGCCAAGGTTGTGTGCATAAACAAGGAATAACTTCCGTTTTCCATCTCTTACATAATAGACCAACAGTCCAAACACCAACCACAATATGTAACCCACAACATGTCGACCATATTCATATTATTACCAACATTTCAGTCATTTTGATTACATTTATTTTTTATAAAATAAAAATAAAAAAGTAGGATTAATTGTCCCCAATTTTGAACTAATAAAATGCCAAAAATAGCTTTGGGTTGGACAATGTGGCAAAGTTTTTTGTATCTTAATCTACCTGGATATCCTCTATTTAAAAATTCCAATAACTGTTATGGTATGGGGTAAAGAACAGCCCGTTAACTATGATGCATGTCTTGTCAGAAAGGTCCAAACAGTCAGGGTTCTCAGCTTAGAGCCAGATTATCCTACCTGATGCATTAAAACAGTGCCTGCACATGTTCATTAACATGGGATTGAACCTTGTTTGACATCTGAACAGAACTTGCTTTAAGATCCACAGGTTCCAGGTTCAAACCCTGATCTTAGATGGCCTATGAACCATAAACAGCACTAAAATTAACCATTTGGAATTTATTCATACTAATTATCCAAGTGTTGCTGCCAGTAACTCAAAAACCAAAGCTTAAGATGTGATGTGGACAATCACAGAAAAAAGGACTTCATCTGGATGCCATTAATGCAAAAAGCCTTCATCAATCATTCAGATTTGGATTAAATAGATACAAACCTTCATAGGATGACAAACACTTAATTTGGAAAGCTTTTAGATGAACTCTATTAAAAGTCATAATTACACCAAGCCTACCATTAGAGGGATATGCAATAAAACGGTTACTTAGCCTGAGTGTTTATAGGTTTTTTTCTCTATTTACTTTTTTTTTCCCCACATAAAAACATTCTTTTGGGAAGAAAGCCAGAAAAAATTGCCAAAAATAGCCTTATCACAGATGGTGACAGAGTCGCTGCCTGATAATGATCATTCCTCTGTCACCAATTCCATTCCCTTTGAATTTAGCGCAGACTAAAATGGCCCAAAATGCCTCTGAATAACAGAGATTCTGGGCTAAATAACATTTCTAAGCAGATATTATAAGGAGTACTTGCAAGCTTGCATCAAGCTTGCAAGTACTCAAGCTGACATCTCATGTGTGAGCTGAAATCTCACACAGTTTGTTAGACTGTTTGGCCCCAACTACAAAAATGTGCCAAGTTAAAAAGTAACATTACAGTTACATCCTTCAATCCTTCCTTTTAACGACTACTATCCTTCCTGTGTTGAGTCATTTTTTAATTTATGTTAATTTTTCTTTCTGTTCAGAAAAATGAAAAGTCTGAAAGATGTTGCTGATAATTTACTGACATTAAACTTTATTCTAAAACTTACAGAAAAAGGGTTAATTTTACATGGTGCATCAATTCTTACAAATATTCTTTCTAAGAAAATATAGCAAGTATTTTTTTTATATTTTATATTTTTACTAAATAAAATATAGAAAGCATTTATTTTTTTATGTAGACATCAATTTTATAGAGGTGTAAATATTTCATCCTTTGAATTGTTTTGGTGGATTATGTGCCTAATATATTTTTGACAGATTAAAAGACTGTATTCTGTAATTACAATAATTAAAAGCTTGGTACAGCAATATTTCCCATATTATCTAACACCTAAAGTTTGCTGTTTCAACTATCCAACTGGTTCAATTTCCATTTGACAAATGGGGGGGCGTTTCATCACTGCAGCTGCTGCACGCCGATTTAAGTCAAGATTCTGTTTTCAAGTATTTGCCGTTGGAGTGACTGCTAGGGGTATAAATAACACCTTTATCAGGATACGGTGTTTTATCTAAGCTTGTCACAATATTTCCATTCACATCAATTCACAAGTTTAAGATGTGCATGAGGCAATACCATCTAAGTTATTTACACTGACATCAACTCACAAAATAAAGTTAATCCTGATAGGAAGATGTTATTCCTAAGGTCTAACAGGCATCAGGGATTTTAAATAAAAAACAGAGTTCTTGTAATTATATTTCCTCACCTTTCCTCATGCCTTTTGAACTGTTGAACAGAAGCATATCTTAACTCATTGAGTGCGTACCTGTTGTTTATAGAGTATCGAGTTGTCCTATTGCCTTGCAGATTGGTGTCTGGTCCCTCATCCCAGTGACACACAGCTGAGATCAAGTCCTGAGTCTCACAAGATAACTTGCGGGGTCGAGGTGGATCTGAGAACGGGGAGAAGATAAAACGAGATGCTGAATTACATCCAAGGGATGCACAAAGCATGACTTGAAAGGTTTATTATCGAGATTTATTGAAGAAGAAATAACAAATATATGGGGATCACCAAACATATCAAAACCCCTAGTAAAGAATTCTTTTTTTTAAAAAGGGAGTACATTTATTTAATGGGAAAACCACACCGCAATTTCAGTTTTTGCATGGACTCATGTACAGTAATTTTTAGGACCAAGTAAATGCTGAATTATTCTTTGGGACAAATCAACACCTACACGGGAGTCTTTGTCAATTCAAATAGCTTGAAGTTAAGCAACCTTTAAACAAAAATGGCTTCCTAAATTTTTGTTGGTTTATTTTAAAACTATGGTAAAAAACTTTAATGTCATGAAATTATACAGGAAGGTACAAAGAATCTATAAAATAACCTATAATGAGATTAACTTTGTTCCAGGTCCTTTAAAAGGACTTTTAAGAGTTCAAAGACTTCTGACAATCAGGAACTGATTCCAGGGGGATGGAGACATCCCTTCATTTCAGATTGGGCCCTCAGGACTAACCATTTGTAAGAAACAATTATTCATCCATTGATATTAATCTGCTCCAAGTCTCCAAATTTTTATCATCCTCCTAACTGGACATACAAAGTTGGATCCTCATCATGCCTACAGCAATCAGTGTTTTAAAAATGTATTAAATTATTCTGTAAGTGTAAACATTGACATGTTTAGGCTAGTAGCCATTATTGGAAGGACTTGACTTACAAAGGTCAACACTAATTTACCTTTATTGGACAGTATGTTCTGTTTTTTTTCTCAAATTTTTAGGAAATGGGCCTATGTGTCATAACCCTGGGAAAAGGGCGTTCAAGACATAATCAAATTAAAGCTTCACACTTTAATCCACACACAAATATATCTTACATCCAACAAAGATGACGGCTCCTGATATTACATTTCTGCCATGTGGAAGACAGAAAACGTTGGTTCCAGACGGCCGAGATGCTGTTTGATTAACAGCTGTGGTGGCATAACTTCGTCGACTCAAACGTGTCACGTTCATGAGTGTTCCTCCATAGTAGATTTTTTTGAGCTCCATTCCCTCCGCAACAATGCAACAGAAGGTTGTGTTGGACCCTACAGACACAACTTTGCTATGGGGATACATCTGGGCGTCACTGTTGCTGGGGATATCTCTTCCTGCCAAGAGGACGAGAGTAAGAAATAACAACAAAGGGTTAGGAATGGAGGAGAGGATGAAGTTCTTGCCAATTTTGCATTCATACCAAACAACCAGATAAGGGGGCAATTTCACACTGCTCTAATAATTCGGTAAGAATCCTACTTCCTGGCAAAGGACTTTCAACTGACCTTCCAGGATCTGAGGTTCACTCCATTCACTTCTTGCATTTCCTTCCCTTGAGCAGATTTTGACTGATAGTGATGTACACTCCAGAGGTTCCACAGACGTCCAGGTCCATTGGTGCTGACCACCATCCTGGTTCACTACAGCAGAGACCGTGTCCTACAAATAATATATGGGGAACAAAAAGAATAAGAAGACGTCCTATAAACAGTGCATCATCCCCAGTCAGGGGTGGATGTTAAGGATTTTTACCACTTGCCCGGCTTTCACATTTCATTTGCCCAGAAACAATTTTTACTTGCCCAGTATAATGTTTGATAAACATAGTTCCTAATATTCATTTTTGTATATATATCAATGAAACATGTTTGTTTTTTTAAATGTTTTTTTGTAATTCAGTAAGTTTACAGGTTCCTGCTGTGTATATGCATGCGTCAGATAATGAACTCAAGCCTACATTACCGTGTTAACTTGCTTTTCAATCCTTCCTGCACATTCTTTTCAAACTAAACTTTGCCTTAAACTGTTGTGTGCTTGGNTGTTTGATAAACATAGTTCCTAATATTCATTTTTGTATATATATCAATGAAACATGTTTGTTTTTTAAATGTTTTTTTGTAATTCAGTAAGTTTACAGGTTCCTGGTGTGTATATGCATGCGTCAGATAATGAACTCAAGCCTACATTACCGTGTTAACTTGCTTTTCAATCCTTCCTTCACATTCTTTTCAAACTAAACTTTGCCTTAAACTGTTGTGTGCTTGGAAAAATATAAATTGTAATGTTAAAAATCTTTTAAAAAAATTGACAGGTTAAAAACTTACACTATTACTATTCACCAATTTAACATGTTTAGCTCTATAACATTTAAATGCACCATTCTAAAGTCTAAGAGAAAAACATTTAATGAACATTTTTTAATGTATGACCACTGAATAGAAGACTGCCATAAGATAGAAATATTTACACTGTGTGCATACAATTATTATTATTTTCCTAATCCCTGACTGATCATTTTTAATATAGTACAGTGTATTATAGTATAGATTAAATTCATCATCCAGCTGCTGCTCTGCAGAATTCTCTCCCCAAGGAGAGAAAAATCACGCCATCTAGCGGTAAATCACAGCTTTTTCGAGAATGTGTACAAAACAACAAAAATGGTGCCAGCAACGCTTGTGGGTCATTTTCAGCGAAAGTCAGTGATTTTAAAGTAATTTTGAGTGATAAATAATTTTTTTTTGCAAGCATTGCACTTGCACGGTGGGCAATGAAATTTGTACCCTCCCGAAAATAAAAACTACTTGCCCCGGGCGATCGGGCAATGGTTAACATCGAGCCCTGCCAGTGTATGGTGTAACAAAACTGAAACCAGAAAATTTAAGAAAAAATGTTTAGTATTGTACTAAGGTTCCAACACATTTTCTATTTAAAAATGTGATGCTTTTCAAACTAAAAACAAAACATCACAAGATATTTTCCAGCAGTTTGTACAACAGCTTGACACGTGGTTTTTTAAACATTGGTTAATATGTTTTTTGTTTGTGTGGGGGGCCCTCCCAGGCATGCAGTGCCCTCACATGGTGCGTGATGCGTTTAGGCAGAGGGTCAGCCGTATTTGGCATTTAAAGAGAGCTTAGAGGCTAAAACCGTAGAACAGTGTGCCTTCCAAGCTGCAGAGTTTCGTTATGGTCTTAGAATAACAACAAAGGTTCTTAAAGGTTGCAAACTCAAACTATTATCTATTCTTACTTCTCTTTTTGTCACCTAAATTTAATCAGTTTTTGTTAAGTTACTTCAGCATTTTTAAAAATGAGTAGGAAACATAAAAGACATTAAGCAATGTTGACATCAACCCACAACTGTACAGTACAGTACCCTGACCCTACCGTAAACTCTAAGAAGACACCATTTAAACAACACATGCTAAGATAAATTGTTGTGGAAAATAAGTACAATTTAAAGAAAAATATTCTTACATAAAAGACGGTTTCATTAAATTCTGTTCTCAAAATGATGATTTCAAAGATAGTGGCCTTTCCTCCAAACCAGGAAATGGATAGTTGCTGAGTGGGATAGTTAGCTGAAAGGCTCACATGCTGGGGTACAGCCAGGACTGGAAAAAGAAATAAAACAAAGTTTAATTTACATATAGAAACAAAGAGCCTTTTTGTTCTCCTTTTTAAATGTACTTGTCATCATCTTGTTTTTCTGAAATCTGCAGAATTAGACCTTTACCAGAGATTGTAATCAAGGGTTTTCCTTAAATGGAGATTTCCTCTTACCAGTTTTAGCTTGAGTGTTTTCAGCTGAGATGCCAAGGAGAAGAACGACGACCCAGAAAGGTCTGCAGTCAGACTTGGAGATGGTGCTTTTGAGTAAACAAGCCATAATCGTCCAACGCCTGTTAATGCCGGTCCACTACACTATGGTGACATCAAGCTTAGCAACCCAGAGAGCTAACTGAAGGATGAAAGAGACCTGTGGGAGAGAACAGCAGAGAGACATCATTTCAATGAATTACAAGACAAGAAAAATTATACCCATGTGGCCCCGCCAGGCTAAATGTGTTTGTTTAAATGTTTCATTCGCTAATAACAGTGATACATGGTTGGACGGACATGGTTGATAGTGAAATGGCATGAGTTTTTTGTCGTTACATGAACTTTTACTTTCAGATGTGTTTTTTACCCTGCACACCTGAATAAAATGGATAAACTATCACACTAGCAGCAGTCAAGCTCTGCTAATGAGCCAATACTAGAGTCTGGTGTGTTGAGGCAGGGAAATATTAAGCTGTAAGACACCGGCCCTCAAGGATTTGAGTTTGAGACCCCTAACTTAGGGAGTCATAGGAAAGGAGACTTTTTTTTCTTACGGGTAAAGGGATGGACATTTTATTTTTTTCAAAGTCAGAGGAGCTGTAGAGTGGATGTGGAGCACACCCGTTTACCTGGTGACCATGCGAAGAGTACCCCTGACAAGGAGGAGCTTGTTAATTTGACACGAACTACGAAACAAGAAGGGGGAATACTTTTAATCCTAGAAGCATCAGGTTAAGCACAAGATTTTTTTTAAAGCAGAACTGTGCATAATATTGAGCCCCCTCAGATTCATGGTTACAACTCTTGCAATGGCTCGGCCAGCATCAGCTAGCCAACATCATCTTTATCTGCTTCAGGTAAATAAATCTAGTGTTTAGGATGATTAAGCATGATGCCAAAAAACAGGGAGGTACCAACATCAATTCCTATGTTTCTTCCCATATTTGTACAAAAAACTTCCCCAAAATGCAATGAGGTTTTCCTTTAGAACCACAAAATGCGGTTCAAAAGAGATGAATACTTTTGCAAGGCAATGTTGAGGAAATCATTATCTAAAAACTACAGCAGGGTTTGTTGTCACATAGATTTCACGGGTTTGATTCGTTCAAAATTTCAAATCTCTGCTACTCTCTGTGACTGGATGCCTGCCAAACCCATACATCTGTCTGCCAGGAAAAGGTTTAAATAACCATGGACAAAATAAATAACTGAACACAGTCAGTTGTCACAGTAGTAACGATGGAAGACAAGTCTGAGAATGCCTTTTTAAGGGGGGGGGTTAGGACTTCTTTGCTCTTGTAGACTTTTGACCTGTACCAACCTGCAGTTAAATGCAACCTTGCTAGACAACTCCTTTTAGCAGCCTATGGTTGTATTTAAGTTTTAGTAGTTTATCTTTTAACCCTTTTTCTCATTAACTTGTTTATATCTTATTTCAAAATACTTAGATTTCTTTTTTTTTAAACTAATTACATAAACATTGCCTGGTATAAATTAATGCATGGATTCTCTCCAGGTACTCCGGCTTCCTCCTACAGTTTAAAAACATAACTGTTAGGTTAATTGGCATCTGTAAATTCTCCTTAGGTGTGAGTGTGTGCGTGAATGTTTGTTTGTTCTGTTTGTCTCTGTGTTGCCCTGCGATGGACTGGCAACCTGTCCAGTGTGTGCCCCATCTCTCGGCCATACAGCTGGAGATGGGCACCAGTATCCCTTGTGACTAGGGGTGTAAATAATAATCGTTTTGTATCGATGCATCGATCCTAAAGCCGACGATCCGATGCATCGACACGTCCGCAAGATAATCGATTCATGTTTTTTTTTTTCCTCCGGTCTTTTATCCATTTGCTCCTGGGAGTAATTCTCCCTCCCATGCTGTGGTGGCGCTAAACCTATTTTGCCCTCCTACCTCGCTTCCTGGTTATCCTCCTGCAGCAGTGTGTTGCAGTAAGCTTGACACAGACATTTTTAAATTATGCTCAATATTGAAGCGTGGTCGGAGCTACACACTGTGGGTCTAGATACGGCCGAGGCGGCGAGGAAGTGGGGGCGAGTTTAGTCCGACGACGGAGGGACATGAGGGCCAAAAAGAGCGGAGATCCAGGTGGAAAAAGGGTCCCAGCGTTCTCGCGCACCTCGCTCTTCTAGCGGGTCAAACTTCACGAGTTGTTTTCCGCAATTTCGGTCATAAAAACAAAACAAGCCGGCCTCCTGTCTGCGACACTGTCTGTGGTCAGATACAATTTTGGAGAGGAGCAGCAGAGCGTCTGGAGGGGGCGGGGACGTCGACACTCTGGAGCCGAGGTATTGTATTGCACTCATTGCACTGATTTTCTGCAGTATTTTTTGATGCAACTTTTCTACTTCTGTTATTTGCTGTTGTTTCAAAAAAAAAAAAAATGCATAACGATATTACAGCTTTCATTGATTTATTTCAAACTTGAAACTTTGTTTAGCCTGTAAGGTGTAAAAAAAAAAATAAAAAATTTAACCGATTAATCGAATCGAATCGTGGTGTATTCTTGAGTATCGAAAATAATCGAATCGTTGGGTCAGGAAATCGATACTGAATCGAATCGCCATGATAGATGTGATTAAATTACTTGTGACCCCACCTGGGATAAGTGTGACGAAATTTGGATGAATGGAATAATCAAAAAGATTAACCATCACTAAGAGGTAATGTACGATAATGTCATGCCACATACAACACAATCATTATCTACACTTTAGATGACCTGTAAAGCAGCTCCAGTTTTTGTTTTTTTCTTCTTCCACAGGGCATGGCTAAGCTTAACATTTTGTCCAAACAGCCAATTAACAAAAGTGACGGAGAATTTTCAATCAGAAGGTCTTGGAGCACATCTGAATCACCACTGAGGTTTGGTCTCCAGTCATGGCCTTAAAGCAGGCGTATGCAACTTCAATCCTCCAGTACCGCCATCCTGCAGTTTTTAGATGCATTTCTGACTCACAAGGTTTTATTAACTTCACAATAGTTGTACAAAGCCCAGGTAATTAACCATTCATTTCACTCAGGTTTGTTGGAGCAGGTATATATCTAAAGGTTGCAGAACAAAGGCACTGCAAGACTGGAGTACTACATGCCTGGCATAAAAGGAACATGCTCTTGGATTTAACCCTGGGAAACTGAGAGCTTGAATTAGGATATATGAGAAAGCATGAAATTCTGCCGGTACTTCCTGTCAGTAGAGTTACAAGAAGCAAACTGTTCTGTTCAGTCCTTGAACAAAAATTGGGAACAGCCATGTAAAGTTGTCAGTCTCCTTACAATGGATTCCAAACACTTTATCAGTTTACCCCGCCTTCTATCAACAACAAAAAAGCTGCTCTCGAACCCTTAACAGGCATAAGCCCGGACTCACACAAATGCATACATAAAAGAGAAAGGGCATTAAATAATTAATGCTCTCACTACACACTTTTAAGTACATTTGCTTAATGTTTGGCTGATCCACAGGCAGACTGGTTTGACACGACAGAATTATATAGTTAGCTCAAATATGGCATGGATCCACCCTGCATTATATATATTAGGGCTGCAACTAACGATTATTTTAAAAATCGATGAATCGGCCGATTATTTTTTCGATTAATCGATGAATCGGACAAAAAATATTTTTTATATTAACCTCTTTATTCCAAAATAAACATTTTAGACAGAACAAACAAGCACACAAGTACAGGTTGCTCATTAACTGTACTGGTGCAATATGAAAAATAAATGTTTGTGTTAAAACTATGCAAACTTATCCACAAAATATAGGGTACTTTGTTTCATAAAGCGCAAAAAAAAGACAGGCATTATTGTTTTTTAAAGCCCCTAAGGGGTTCAAACAATAGGTCCCCCCATTTCAACAAATTCATTTTTTTTAGACTAGAAGAGTTCTGCCTTTTAAGACAGGAAAGTATAGCAGTTAAAGTTGCTACTTGAGAAAATACTGAACCATAGAGATAAAAATAGCCCTGTGATTCAAATTATAAATTGTATTTGGAATAAAAATGAGAGAACTAGGGGTGCTAAAAAACACATCCTCCAAAGACAGGTATTTACATGGGAATGTGGCATATAATTAATTGACATATTACTGATCTTGCTGGATTTTATTCTGCTTTACTTCCATAAATTGCAGGATCTTCTTTACTTTATCTTTGCCAGAAGATTTAAACTTTAAAAGCCTTGCCCTCATAATTTGCAAGTTAATTTATTTATAAAGAAAATATAAATCCTGCTTAATCTAATTCAAATTAAATTAAAAGTAAAATAAGTAGCCAACCTTATCACTGTCTGTAACCTACTAACACGGTAAGGAAAGCATCAGATGAGCTACCTGAGAAACTAACGTTACCTTTCCCCACTTTAAAACAAAAACATGGTCGCTCACCCTGCTGATCAGCTCTCTTCACTGCCATCGAAGGCTCCAGCATGTTTTCTTTTCAGGTGCTGCGTCATAACAGTGGTGCTTCCGTGCCATGTTCATTTGTTTTTACAAAAGTTGCATGTTACGACTTTTTTCGCTTTAGAAAGCGCAGGCTATTTTAATTATTGTGATCAATCCCGGCGCATGCGCGCTTCATTTGCAATCCTGCGGCTCTGACTGCAGCGCTGAGAGGGACTCCTGCGGGAGAACAGGGTTGGGATGGGGGAGGCGCCCCACGGCAATGACGACGGCGGCGGATGACGCATTATTCACGCGACACAACTAATAGATGATGATATTCGTTGCCAACGCTTTTAAAAGTCGATTTTTATCGATTCGTTGTTGCAGCCCTAATATATATATATATATATATATATATATATATATATATATATATATATATATATATCAACAGTTCAGGCTGTGGTGATAAGATGTGGAGGATATTTATTTAAATAAATTGAGTATTATTTAAAGGAAAAGTCATATTCAGAAAATATTAAATTAAATAAATATGAAATTATTACATACTGCTCAACAAATGATAAGTGTTTTAATTAAGAGTGATTTCATTTGAATGTGCTTTACCAGAGACATCCATACTTGTCAAAGAGCACTACTGCTACCTACCGGTTTATGACGTCACGGTGCGGTATCTGTTATTGAGCGAGTCCCAGAGCTGTATCTGGTGTTTGTCAAAACGCGCTATTATCCA